GGGATTTGATTGGCTGATGCCAGCTTCGCAAGCATTGGGAGCATCAAAAGTTGAACATTGCTCAACTTTTGATGCTCACGATGCTTGCAAAGCCATGCTCCGCTCCCCACAATGCAGTTCGGCGAAGATTAAAAATCTTCTACGTCACCCCATTCAAGTGAATGGGCGAAGCTTTGAAAGATTTTTTTCATGCCTGTGTGTGGACGGGCCGTAAGGTCCCTGAGTGTGAGGCGCTGTGGGTAGAAGCCCCAGCAGTGTGAAAGGAAAATGTGGAAGTAGAAAACATAGATGACCGTTTTTAAAGGGAAGCCTCCAAATATCCAGATGTTTCTCTGGTATAACCGTCTTCTCCTCCGTTTCAGCTCACGTTTCTTGCCGACTGGAAGAACTCCAACCGTTACCCGGCCGTCATTCTGTTCTACATCAACGCCTGCTTCTTTGTGGGCAGTATCGGCTGGCTGGCCCAGTTCCTGGATGGAGCGCGGGAAGAGATCGTGTGCAAGAGCGACAACACCATGCGCCTCGGGGAGCCCTCGTAAGTCTTTTAACACACCAGCTGAGATAAAACATCCTTCCCAAATACAGAGACTGAACCCTAAACTGGTGTTTGGCTATAGGTCTTCAGAGACGCTGTCCTGTGTCACCATCTTCATCATTGTGTACTACTCCCTGATGTCGGGTGTGATTTGGTTCGTCATGCTGACCTATGCCTGGCACACGTCCTTCAAAGCCCTGGGCACCACCCAGCAGCCACTGTCCGGCAGAACCTCCTACTTCCACATGGTCACCTGGTCGGTCCCCTTCATCCTCACTGTGGCCATCCTGGCTATCGCTGAGGTGTGTGGGAGACCTTTTCATTATAAGATCTGACTTCCAGTCCTGCGAAAAGCTTTGATTTAAATCTCATGTCTCTGATGTGTTTTCTACAGGTGGATGGAGACTCGGTGAGTGGGATCTGTTTTGTAGGCTACAAAAACTACAAATACCGCGCTGGGTTTGTGCTGGCCCCCATTGGAGTTGTGCTTGTTGTCGGCGGTTACTTCCTCATTCGGGGTGAGACTCATTGACCATCCTTTGAAAAGCAATTTTAGCCCTTTTTTTCACATCCTTCAAAACTCTGTGAACTCCAGAAGTGCTCCTCAAAAAATCATCGATCAACACCAAATCATTATTCATTTTTTTCCTTCCAGGTGTCATGACTTTGTTTTCCATTAAGAGTAACCACCCAGGACTGCTGAGTGAGAAAGCTGCCAGCAAAATCAACGAGACGATGCTGAGGCTGGGTATGTTCTCTCATCTGATGCCATTACACTCTACAGCGGGGACCTGAGAAATATTATATATACTATATAAATGTATCATTTAGAGTTGGAACGTGGATCAAACTAAGTATTGAAGAAAGTAAATGTTTCAGTTGAGGAACAAGAACATTTCTTCTCTCCTTTTACCCAATATTCTGTATTGTCATGTAAACAATTTCAATGTATTCCAAGTTAGGGTATGAATGCCATTGGGGGAAGGGCCTGGTATCTTTCATCTGATATATTGCTCTATTTCTCTTTTTCAGGTATATTTGGATTCCTGGCTTTTGGCTTTGTTTTCATCACCTTCGGCTGCCACTTCTACGATTTCTTTAACCAGGCTGAATGGGAGAGGAGCTTTAGAGAATATGTGCTGTAAGTTTTACTGACTATATTTCTTAATCAGAAATCCAAATCGAGTTTATTTCCAGGTACGTTACAAGGAATTTGCTTTGGTGTATGATGCTGCAAACACAACATGAGCAAATAAGTAGTAAGTGAAAGTAAAACATTTAACGATTGTAAAAAGAAACTATTTAACATTAAAGAAGAATAAAGACAAGTATTTACACCAAGACTGA